AGTTTCAATTACAGAAGACAAATAAATCCCAGATACCTGCCTCCGGCTGGCCTCCACTGGGAGCTTGGGTGGCTGGGGGCCATGACCAGCCTGCAAACAGCCAGCAGCCCCTCACCCAGGCTGGCCAGGCACCCCAGCAGGGATCCCCACCCTCAAGGGGCTGGGGCCAGCCTGCAAACAGCCATCAGCCCCTCACCCAGGCAGGCCACACCCTCATGGGGTGAGGGTCCTTGATGGGGGGCTTGGCCAGCCTGCAAATAGCCATCAGCCCCTCACCAAGGCTGGCCAGGCACCCCAGCAGGGATCCCCACCCTCAAGGGGCTGGGGCCAGCCTGCAAATAGCCATTAGCCCCTCACCCAGGCAGGCCACACCCTCATGGGGTAAGGGTCCTTGATGGGGGGCTTGGCCAGCCTGCAAATAGCCATCAGCCCCTCACCAAGGCTGGCCAGGCACCCCAGCAGGGACCCCCACCCTGAAGGGGCTGTGGCCAGCTTGCAAACTGCCAGCACCCACTCAGCCAGACTGGCCAGGCACCCCAGCAGGATACCCCCCCACCCTGAAGTGGGTGTGGCCAGCCTGAAAACGGCCCTCAACCCCACACCCAGGCTGGCCAGGCACTCCTGTATAATAAAAGGGTAATATGCAAATTGACCCTAACAGCAGAACTGGGAATGACTGGTCACTATGACACACACTGACCACCAGGGGGCAGATGCTCAATGCAGCTGTCCCTTGGTCAGTGAGCTCCCACAGGGGTAGCTCTGCTCAGCCACAAGCCAGGCTGCCGGCTGCCAATACAGCGGTGGTGGTGGGAGCCTCTCTAGCCTCCTCAGCAGCGCTAAGGATGTCCGACTGCAGCTTAGGCCTGTCCCCCGGCTGGCAAGTGGACATCCCCCGAGGGCTCCCAGGCTGCCAGAGAGATGTCTGCTAGTTTAGGCCCAATCTCCCTGGGGAGCAAGCCTAAACCAGCAGGTGGTCAGCCCCCAAGGAGTCCCAGACTACGAGAGGGCACAGGCTGGGCTGAGGGACCCCCTCAAGTGCACAAATTTTTGTGCACCGGGCCTCTAGTTATGTATATAAAAAACTCAGCATATAATAGGTGACCAATGTGCTAATTTAAAAAAAAGATTCCTCTTGCTATAGCTCTCCTCCCTTGCCCTTTTCAGCCATGTTTCTTGAAAAACGACTTTTACTATTTGGTAATTTCCCCTTTGCACTGCAACTCGGTGTAATCTGGCTTTTATTCCTGACATTGCTCACCAAAAATCTCCTAAAACAAACTAGATGTGTTAATAGAGCTTCAAGTCATTTCTTAATCTTTTGTGTATATAGTCAGTTAATCAATTTCTCCTGGTTTCCAGGACACCAGAGTCTTCCCAATTTTCTTAATTCTCGTTCCTTTTTATTCTTCTTTGCTGCCTAAATTCTATTGATTAGTATCTGTCTTCAACTTTTGAGTGTCTGGAAAATGCATGATTCTTTCTTATGAGGTTGGAGTTAGAATTCTGGCTCTCCTACTTACCAAACTGAGTTCCCAAGTTATTTAACTCACCTGACCCTCCATAGTCTCAACTATGAAAAGGTGACTCTTCTCCTGGACAAACATCTTAAAATGGAGTCATTGTACACTGAACCTGACCTTCTCTTTGGCGTAATGGACTAGTAGGCATAAACTGGAATTCCAGGCTGGAAACCCATTTCATAGCATAAGTATATCAAAACTCAAACAAATCATATACTCTCCATATTTATTAACAGTATAAAACTAACAATATGAGCTGTAATATACAGGCTCCTTTGAGGTATTTTTCTTCATGGTCTGGACCGCCTGTTTCTTAGACTCTTAGTTTAATGAAGTTTGGAAAGAATATGCCATCTTTTCCTGGTAAATCTTCCCAAGATATTACTCCTTACTCCAGAGACCTTTGAACTGCATTGAAAATTAATGTCATCTGCCACAAAGGAAAAAAATAGTTCAATGATGTTCAGGTAAATGCCTCTCAAAGTTTTTCAAAGCTAAATGTTGGACAGTTTCAATTATGTCTTACTTTTCCATTTTTATAAAAATATACTTTGTTGAGCTCGAGAAATTTCTAACAATACAACCAGGTTTGCAGGAGAAACTTCTAGATCCACTCACTCTGCAATGTCAATCAGTTTCAGTGATGCTTTTTACAGTAATACAAATGCCTTCAAAATACTGAATGAGGCAGTTTCCTCCAAATTCCTAGTTTCAGGCTTCACTTACAATTTTCACAATATCCGAAACACTTCCAAAATTCCTTTTTGATCCATCCTCCTTGATTGCTTTGACCTTTAAAAATTTCACAATAAAAATGCCTTAGTATGCAACAACTTATTTGATTTGTTGGCTAAAGTCAATGAGATGCTTTGTGGAGATAAATGGAGAGGAAGCAAAACAAATGTCAGGATACTGCTGCTTAAGAATTCGGAGACGGCTTGAAGCATTGGCCAAACCCAGCTGTTATCAATTTTTTAAATGCCATTATTTCTTGCCCTGTGGAACAAAGTAGAGTGATGCCATTATTTCTTGCCCTGTGGAATGAAGTAGTGAAAATCAAAGCTTGAGGATTGCTTCTTCAAAAGACATTAATTCATTAATTAAAGGGGACTGCTTTGGATTCTTGGCAAAATAAAAGGTAAGGCACTGGTTTTAATTTGCAGTCAACTGTAATATGTGATTCCTTCTACCCAACTGCACAGTTGATACTTGCCCTAACTGGTTTGGCTCAGTGGATACAGCATCGTCCTGTGGACTGAAAGGTCCCAGGTTTGATTCCGGTCAAGGGCATGTACCTTGGTTGCAGGCACATCCCCAGTAGGAGATGTGTAGGAGGCAGCTGATCCATGTTTCTAACTCTCTATTCCTCTCCCTTCCTCTCTGTAAAAAAAATCAATATATATTTTTTAAAAAAGTAACAGGCCTCTCTGCATTTTAATTAAATTTTCTGGAAAATTCTTCAGTGCTTCATTAGCACTTGTAGCTTCCACCAGATGTTATGCTAACAAGTTCTCACTGTTATAAAAACAAACAAAAACTGTTTAATGTGCAGCATTCTCATCTGACGAAATCTGTATCCCCTTATTTCTAACCAAAGGTCCTAGAGTTCAGGCCCTCCTTACTCTTACCGAGTTAGTACAACAGTGGCTTTGAAACCAGTCTAAACAAAATCACCCGAATTCAATTTCTAATCTACCTCCAGCATCTTCCCAAGATATGCAACTGTCCTTTGAGCCATCACTCTACCTTGCAGAATCCCTCCAACATAGCGCTCAACGAATGTTATTACCATTTTATTTTTACACAGGTCTGCTCTATTGCATTCTGAGTCACTACTGGGCAAAGCCTATTTCTTACTGGTCTTTGGTCTATCAGTTAGCATACAGAAGGTACTCAACCTGTTTCCTGTGTTGGAATGGATATAAGCCCAACTCTCATATCAGTTTTCAGATACCTTACGAATTCTCTCTTTGAAAACCAACATTTTCTAATCTAGTATTATCAAATAATGTGAAAAAACACTGCAAATTTTGATGAAAAATACCTGATTTTTTTTTTCTTTGAAGCTAGTACACTAGGAAAATCGAGCCTTAATGACTTATAGTGGTCCTATGAACACTAATTTATCATACTTTTTATAGCTGTCTTCAGTAGCTACTGAAACCTGCTCCAGCCTTCACTGCTTTTTAGGTTTTCTGTCACCCACACCAACTAGCTTTTATATCTAATTTACCTGTCTACACCAATTCCTCTCACACCTCGAAATTTTGCTTTTCCAGGCTAGAAAGCTGAAATAATCAAGCTTGTTAAAATGTTTATGGCAGGAAGAAATAGGCCCTGAGTGAGAAATTATGTACCCATGTTTTAAAATCACAAGGATCTTCCCCTAGCTGGTTTGGCTCAGTGGACAGAGTGTTGGCCTGTGGATTGAAGGGTCCCAGGTTCAGTTACACTTAAGGGCACATGCCTGGATTGCGGGCTCGATTCCCAGTAGAGGGCGTGCAAGAGGCAGCTGATCAATGATTCTCTCTCATCATTGATGTTTCCCTCTCTCTCTCCTCTCCCTCTCCATTCCTCTGAAATCAATAAAATTTTTTAAAAAATACTGTTTAAAAAAACATAAGGATCTTATGACATCCATTTTATCTGTTCAAGGTCATCATTACTCTCTGGCTCTAATCTTCATCAGAAAAATGTCACACAGAATTAGCACTGTGTATCACTTAAATTTGCATTCTCAATTAAAATCCAGCCTAGTTTACTAATTTAAGACTCTCCCCACTTTAAAGTTCTCTTCTGTGATTCAGTTCACATTAGTAAGTTATGAGTCATGTACAGTCACTTAAAAAGCTAAAGCTATTTTAAACTACCTTATACATTTATAGCAGATCAAAAGCATAATGTGCAATGTGACATAAACTATTAAATATTTAAAATTACAAAATAAAAATATCCCAAGATTGATGTGTAAATTTTTCTTAAATTCCAAAATGTAACTAATATGGACTAAAGCTCAATACTAAATAATCCATGTTTCATATTCTATCAAAAATACATCCTCTGGCCGAAACCGGTTTGGCTCAGTGGATAGAGCGTCGGCCTGCGGACTGAAAGGTCCCAGGTTCGATTCCGGTCAAGGGCATGTACCTGGGTTGCGGGCA